AGGGTTCACACGCGCGGCGACTGAATCCACGGGATCTGTTGCGACAAACAATGAGTTAATGAGTGCTAACAAGTGGTAAAACACGTGATAATCACCAGAAAAGTCTTCGGATAAGTGGTAAACAATTGCCAAACAAATGACTGTTTGTAGCGAAAAGGGAAGAGGAAAGCGTGACATACACTAAGGGATTGTCTCCACATATCAACCGCTCATTCATACAATACGTGCGGCAATAGTTGTGGCGAAAAACCATTTCCACAGCACTTATCACACAATCACTAAATCACTACTGGATCTAAACCCCAATTAAACACACATTTAATTACAGTTCACTCACAAAACACTTATTTATAACATAATTATCACCGAAAATACTGAATATATAACGTGAGGGGAGAGGGCACCGGCATGACTGCCTGTCCCTTAGGCACTGCTGACACCATCCCCTAATAACTCACACCAGAGTGTAGTTCCCTTTCCTGTCGTGTATTGACTCAGAAATGCCAGGACTTAGTAATAAGGTTTGTCTTCGCGATCACCACCCGGGACCTAATGGTCACCGGAGTTGATCCATATGTCTGTGTGTGGCTAACGAAGTGCTTTGTCTTCCTATGTATACTAGCCGTTGATAATCGACGGACGCGGACACCTCTTGGGCCGATTGGCGTCAACTGTGGCCAAGACGCTACTCCAGGGTATGTATGGCTAACACACATGCCTTACCACTGATTACCGGACATTATCACCAAATGCGAGCGCAATTGTCGGACACTTCTTGAGATAATAGTCACTATTATTGTCACTATTAGTGAGGTTTACGTTGAGTTGAGTCCCAGTTTTGTGAGCCATTGATGGCTATGTAGTGGCCATTGATGTCCAGACAATTGCTGCACGCGTTTGGTGCCACCAAATGATGATAATTATAACCACAATCTATTTGATAACAATCAATGATATACCTCTTCATGCACTACCATCTGATCCGCTGTTTTCTCAGTGTCTTATACTCTACTTTGAATTGATTTTTTCTTGATGTCTAATGTCTTGTGTTTCTGTTTTGTGATCACATTTCAGGTCAGAAAGTGGTTGTCGTCCGATGCGAGGGAATCAATATCTCCGGCAGTTTTTACCGCAACAAATGTAAGACCAATTGATCCCGCGATCACTTCCAACAATGGCTGACATCCTCGCCAGACATAGACACTTGAAAACCGCAATCAATGGATAGCTATGAATATAAGCGTAGTTTTAGACCACTTATAGACATCTAGTGCTTAAGACACTCGTTTAGATTGACATGAACTGGTGGTCAGTGTCTGCGCGACCGGATGTCAGCCATTGATCACTCGATGGCCAGGAAATGATGTTTACTTAAACCTACATTAACTGAATGTCTTAATGATATCAAACTTTCTAACTATACCTCTGATCCCGAACGCCATCCTAACTATCAATTCAATACAAAACTAAACCAATTCATGGCACACATACCTAATGAACCAATTGTCTCACCACTTCCTCCGCAGTGAAGTATTTGTCGTTTTTGCGTAAGAAGTGTAATGTGAACCCCTCGAGGGGGCCCTACCATTACCGGGCGCCGAGTAAGATATTCTGGCGCACCGTACGCGGCATGTTGCCCCACAAGACCAAACGCGGTGACAAAGCGCTGGACAACCTCCGAGTGGTGGAGGGCATACCCCCGCCCTATGACCGCAAGAAGCGACTGGTGGTGCCCTCAGCGCTGCGTATCGTACGACTCAATCCGCGCCGAAAGGTATGGCTATAATGAGCGGGAAATGGATTTTTGGGATCAATTGGTGTTTAATTGTATGTCTTTGTGGTGATTATTATAGTACTGTTCGGTGGGCCGCCTGTCCCATGAGGTGGGCTGGAAGTACCAGTCGGTGATCGAGACGCTGGAGCTCAAGAGGAAGGCGAAGGCCGCCATCCGGTTCTCGCGCGTCAAGAAGGACGCGAAGCTGAGGGCGGAGGCGAAGAAGTCGCTCGAGAAGAAGCTGAAGCCACTGACGGATCAGANGGGCCGCCTGTCCCATGAGGTGGGCTGGAAGTACCAGTCGGTGATCGAGACGCTGGAGCTCAAGAGGAAGGCGAAGGCCGCCATCCGGTTCTCGCGCGTCAAGAAGGACGCGAAGCTGAGGGCGGAGGCGAAGAAGTCGCTCGAGAAGAAGCTGAAGCCACTGACGGATCAGATCAAGGCTTTCGGTTACGACGTCTAAGATATCCGTGGATTTGATATAGTGTTTGATTTTTTTGAAGTAATAAATGATTGGTTTAATTAAAACATGAGTTGTTTTTTGGTGGGAAGTGGTTTGATCAGATCAAGGCTTTCGGTTACGACGTCTAAGATATCCGTGGATTTGATATAGTGTTTGATTTTTTTGAAGTAATAAATGATTGGTTTAATTAAAACATGAGTTGTTTTTTGGTGGGAAGTGGTTATGGTGATGAGTGTCTGCGTGATAGTGGTAAGTGGTGTGCGAATTGGACACATGCGCTGGTGATCTACTGTTGGATCAGTTCTGGAGGTGATGTCTATGAAGGTCTGGATTTGAGGTGTTTTTTGCTGTGAATTTTATTTTTTGTTTAAAGTTTAGTAAAGTTTGCCCATTATTTATGATAGCAAAAGTTGTTTGTGTTATCCAGGTTCATTTATGCGCTGGTTTAAAATCAATTTAAATAGTGTTACAGTAAATGGTTTATGATTTAATGAATAGGAAGTCATATTTTTTTGCACTCATTTGTAGTGTTTTGTAGAGTTTTAAGCAAATAATTGTAAACTTAAATAAGTTTATAACTAAAAGTTGTTTATGATTAAAGGTATTATGATAGCGATAGTATGGCGAACGTTTGGATCCTTTACATATACAGTACTCAATGTGTTTATTGTATGAAAAGGTATTAATTTGGCTGTATTTTAATAAATAATTAGACCTACCGTAATAATAATTTTATTGAATTTAAAAATCAAACAAATTGTAAGCAATAAATTACAAATATTATCTTAACACTTCAATAACCTTTATAAACGCCATGGAAATGAAGATTAAAATCTGAAATTAAAAAATATAATTAAAAAAATAAAATAAATTCAAACCAATTGATGACATACTTCGTAACCACGGAATCGGTTGATGAGAAACAGTCGCCAACAGTAAAAGCCGACCCTTTTCTGGCCCAACCGTTCAATCCATGATTGCAACTATAATTAACATAAAAAACATATTATATTAAACTAGATCAATAATTGTACCATAAATACATACCTTTAATTTGCAAACACTGTTACGTATAAGTGGTTTGGTGTTGAGCATAAATTGACCAACGTAATATGAATTAAATAACTTATACGTAACCATCGACTGGTCGCAAAGTTTGGCCGAATAGTGTATAATAAATAGCAAGGCGAATAGTACCTGTAAAAACATCGCAAACATAATCACCTTGGATATGAATGGCATGAATGAGAATAACGCCGCGTAAAGTATCACGATCAAAACAAAGCCAAACATAACCCAATAAATGCCCAAAAATATGGACCAATAATTGCCGTTATATTCATTGATCTCCAGATAAATATCATTGAGTTTACGCATAATATTCATTAAACGCGTGATTTGTTTGTGTTTATTATGATTGCAATAAAACTCGCGATTAATTGATTGCAGTTTCCCAGTCATATAATAGGCTATCACCGCGTAATACAACGATTGCCATATAATCATGCCCAACATATAGTCAACCAACAGTGCCCATAATACGCTATGGGGTATGGCGTATAAGATAATCTGCTTGATGGTCATACGCAGCGAGAAAGCACCTAGCCAACATACGAACATGAATATAATGGACAGTTTAGTCACTAATTCTGTGACTTTAATTAGTTTTCGCGAAAATGTAAGCAATTTATGGACGATATGCTTGTCGTGAATACCGATACTAATGGGTGTTATTAGACCCGAAAGCATCCAAAATACACATAAATCCCGCGGTTTTATACCCCGACTATAGTTATGGTAATTGAGTAGTTGCGAGGACAGGCAGAGTATTGTCGCACTTATAGTCCCGAGTGATGCCTGAAGTCTTACGCCTAAAAAGTATGTAATGTCTCCACACATGGCGTAAAACTCTAAGTCCTGTTCGGGTATTGAAATCAATACAACATATCGTATAAGAAATGCCAAAATAACCAGAAATACGAGAATCGGGCGATAAATGAGTGAACGCTTTGTGGCGTTCAATGGCTTATAGAGTGAGAGACCTATACTGTAGAGATGGGTACCGGCACTCGCGATCACCAATGACCCTGGTAGCACCTTATTGACATTAATTAAATCGGGATCTACTTGTGTCATTGTCGTTAATTTTAATTATAATAAACTTTATTATATTTTAAAAGTTGTCGATTACTAATACTATACTCACATATAATATAAGAATTTGAAAAATATTTTTAAAACTTCTGAACTCTAAATTATACTTATAGGTGATTGTCATCATATTATAATGACATTTATATGGATATTATATAAGTATTCAAAGCTTATAAAGTCAATCAATCAAAAATCAAATTAAAGTCAATATGCGTGTATGAATGCAATTAATTATGTTTAATAGCTATACGATTATAATCCAAAATATTATCAAAATATTATCATAATATATTATATTATAATCATTATTTTGTTATTACAGTTTAGTTTACTTAATGTATTGTCGAGAATATATTATATATTTAAGTGAAATTAAGAAATATTTAACATTAAAATAATATTTAAAATGACTATGAAACTAAATATCACTGTTTTATATTTCAAATTAAATAAAATTATTGCTATAATATATTTTCACAAATTGCCAATCAATCACTAGAATTTGCTTATTTAGTTATTTAATACAAAACAAAACTTTTAAATTAGTTTATAAATTAAAACTTTTAAATTATGATTCAAAAGCAATGATTAAAACTTAATTTAAAAGTAATTTATTTAATCAGTATGTAAACTGGACAGGGTTGTTTTAAACAAATTTTAATTTAATATACACAAGGTTTGTAATCAACACACTATACATAAGCAATGGTACATTTAATTCAGTTATTATTATAAAACTTATTTTACTTTTTTGTTGAAATAAATATACCTTATATTGGATTTAAAAATACCGTAATATTTATGATACAATATACCGGTACTACCAACTAGTACCGGTATTTAAAAATATACAATGAGTTATAAATAGACGTATATTTTCTCTACGGTATAATAAATTGCAAAAAAAACTTTTTAACAAAAACAGATAAAAAATGTCTTAATTATAGTCGGAGTT